CCCCAAAACCCCAAAACCCCAAAACCCCAAGACTCAGAAATTAAGATGATTTAAAGAGATTAGCAATTGATAATTAGATATATAGTTAATTTATATACTGGACTTTAAATTTTGAATAATCATGATAAACTTTTAATAAATAATTGACTTCTGTGCCTTAATAAACCTTAATATTTACTTGTTATTCAATATCCCATCAACTCTATTTTTCTTCAAAAGTATTTAGAGCCTTTACCATCCAAGATATTTGAAGCCAATAATTGAAGTCATTAAAATTTATCATATTTCTTTATTTTTATCATAAATTAGAGATTGTTTTATTTTGAAATAGCAAAAATATATAAACCTCTCTCCTTAAAATCAAGTATGAAGTTAAATCAATGATCGCATTTCTAATGTAATTCTTACATCTAAAGTTAAGTAATCAATCTATAAGCAATTTCCTTGATTACAATCAATTATCATTTAAATTTTCAAGTTAAGCATCATTACTCCAAAATATGCCACAATAATTTTTCAGAAATCAAGATGAATAATTTCATTTTAAAGTTTTTAGCATTTTTGCATTATTAACCCTCTTTCATGTTAAATCAAAATCAAATTATCGAATCTCGTTGCCAATGCATTCTGCAGATTCAGATCTCAATAATTCTTGAAATTTCAAATAGAGTTAGAAATTGATTTTATTGGACTTTAGGGCTATAAATTCCTGGTAGTTAGAGACTATATTAAATTTAAATTTCAAATGTTTCATAAAACTATACTAACCGCTGCAATACTTCTGGGGGCTTGTATATCAATTCAGATCAGTGATGTAATGTAGAAGCAAAGATCATAGCTAGAGTGGAGATAAGAAGCAACCAATACTTTCAGTTGGAATGCAACTCAAAAGCTTTAGTGGTCCGTAGTCAACGCTTTCATTGATGTTTAGACCAGTCCAGATGGAGATGTTTATGCCATTCAGAGTATCGAATCCGAAATGGCAGCAAAGAAGTACTTCGTTTACCTTTACGATATCTCATCCAATATCTGGTCACTACCTGATGCTAACTTTTAAGCAAAGGCTGTTAGATTCGACAGACTTGGAAATATTTA